GGGGGGGGGGGGGGGGGTGGGACAGCCGTTGTGGGAGACTGGGGAGGGGGCTTGAGGGGTGGGCTGTCACTTTCCTCTGAGCTCTCCGGACACAGCAGTGCAGGGAGCCATGCACTGGACTCCCGGCGGTTCCTCCTTGCTGTCTCTCTTTCCGTGCGGCGAGTGCGGTGATGGACGGGCCGGGAGGTGCTGCAGCCATCAAACAGGTGTCTGAGGCTTCTTGGCTTCTGTCTTGGGTCCCGCGGAGGGAGCACGCAGTGCCCGGACCGGAGGCACACGGGAAGGATGGAGGTCTTTAGGAAGGGGAACCTCACAGCGGCGGTTCTTATCCTTCCATTATGCCGTGTTTATTTAATTGGATCGGAACCGAAGCCATATCGACCGGAGCCCCAGCGTCCGGCATGGTCCTGAGCTCCTCTATCTCATGCTCTCCTCGGTCCGTGGCCATGGGACGCTGTGCTGTTAGGGGGAGGGGGGGGGGCGCTGGGATGGAGCTGCAGTGGCTACCCAGAGTGATCAGAGTCCCCTCCCTCTGCTCCCCACCCTTCTGGAGATTTATGGTGCTAATGTGTTCTGCGGCGGCGTGTGAGCATGGTGGTGGTGGTGGGGGGGTTGGGCGTGTGGTCCTGCTCTTTGTCCTTGTAGATCTCTCAGTCTTGATGTTCCTGCCAGTCCTCAGAGTGGCTTGGTAGAGGGGCTTCTAGGTGGATCCGCCAACCCCCCCCCCCCCCCCCCCCCCCCCGATTGTGCAGCGTTTATCTTATAAGGTCCCAGCGTGAGAGTGAGTGGCTAGGGGCTGGTTTTCGCATTAGTTCTTGCGGTTCTGCGGCTTTCTCAGAAATCCTACCTCACTAACATTATTAGCCATTAGCAATAGTAGCTTCAGATAGCTGGAGCGCCTCTGAAAATGGAATTAAAATCCGTGAGCTACACATGTAGCAGCGATAAATTATTATGGACAGTTCTCTATGAGACCAGCTGTAGTTTATGACAGTTTTTGTTTGAGTTTTTTTTACCAGTTTGACAGCTATTGTTTCCCAGTGACACAACTAGACAATATGAAAGACTTCATCAGTCGTTGCCAAGAATCAGTTGGATTGTTTAGTTATGTCTGTTTGTTTGAGTGCATAGGCGATTATTGAGGTCTGCTATGTCGGTCTGCATTAAATTACTCTAAGCAATCTGGATTATAATTTGTGTTATGATCTGGGTGCCCTAACTAGCGTGTGTGTCCCCCCCCCCAGGTTATCTGGGTATGCAACCTGTGCCGAAAACAACAGGAAATCCTCACTAAGTCCGGGGAATGGCTGTGCAGCGGGATCCCCACTGCGGCCCAGAGGGCAACCTCCACTGAGGGGCCCCGGGGCCCACGGCTGGAGGAGGCCCCCCGCGAGAAGAAGGCCAAGCTCCAGGGTGCGGCCCCTTCCCAGGGAGCCGCGGGGGACGTCGCCGCATCCACGCCTGACCGGAGCAGACCCCCCGGGCTCCAGCGCCAGCAGTCGCTCCGGAACGGCTCGGGGCCGCAGCGTCCTGAACCAGGCGACGTGCTTGTTGACAGGTGAGCTAATCCCCCCCCCCCCCGCAAACTCCACCCTTATTTCTTATATCTTATTTCTTTTGGTGTGGAGGCAGAATTCTCCTTTAAAGTGTGGTGGGGGTTGGTCTCTGCATTTTCTAGAATTTTCCCGATAGGTTACAGGACATGGATGAAAAGGCACATATGGCAGGTGGGGGCGTTGAATTGGGCGGCAAGCCAACAGCAGACAAAAAATAATGTTCCTGGCAAATGATCCTCCCCCCAAACACCATCTCGCTGACATTCAATCCAAAGGGGTTCCCCTAAAACAGCTGTACTGAAGGTTGATGGCCCCCCCATACCTGCTAATTGTCTGGTGTTATTTGGCCGGTTCCCCATTTCTGCTCCCTAATGCTCCGATGCTGAGAAGCAGGATGAGGGCTTGATGTTACCATCACGGGAAAACAAAACTACACAAAAAAAACGAATGAGCTGGGAGATAAAGGTTGCATCGTTGGTGTGCTGGCAGTAAGTATGGGCTGTACTTTCAGGTGAATTCTGTTTTAGTCATGCGTATGGCCATGCTGTGTACTTGGAGTTGGTGCACTAACAAATCCGACCACAGGGGGGTGTTCGTCTTCCTTGTTTGGCTCAGAGAGGACGCAGGGGCGCCGGGCGCAGTGATGTCGGATATTAAAGTCACTCGATTCCTGAGCAGCTTCCTTTCCCACGAGTTCAGACGTGGGCTTTTAACTGTATTGATTGTCCGTCCGCTGGACAGCAATCCTCCTCATGGCAGAGCCGCTGGGCTGGCAAGAGAAGATGCCGCCTTCCCGTAGGCGTCCCTGAGAGAACATTTCACGGGCCCCTGTTTGGGCGGTGGCAGGCGGAGGCGGGGGGGGGGGTTGGGGGAGGGGCTTATGTGCCTCCTAGCTCAGTGGATGGGCATCTGATTGGCTCCACCACTGTCCCCGCCCCACCCCTGGCGAGCCTCTTGCCGCTGACCTTGCAGTGATGCAACCAGCCCCCCCCCCGGCATGCTTCAAGCTAACTCCCCATGCCAGAGCTGTGACCAGGGCCCTGCGAGTTTTAAATCAAATGTCGCCTGCCCCCCCCCGCACCCCTCCCCACCCTCGTTTACAATCACACTCCCAGCTTCCTCCAGCAGCTGTCCAAAGTGGCTTAGTGTTCGCCATGCCGTTGCTGTGCTCGATCCCACCCCGCCCCCCCCCCCCCCCCCCCCCCTTTCTCCTTTGGGCATCTGGGCTGCTTCAGCCATACACCTCCCCTTCATGGAGAAAACCAGGCGTGTCTGGAGAATCCGCTTGTTAGCGGCTAACGAGGGGGGAGACGCCTCGGATTAGGAGACCGAAAACCTGCTTGGCGGTTCACCTTTGTCTCCTATTCCTTGTCTTTGGTTGTCACATACGCTTCTCCAGCGAGTTTCCGCGATGGACATGCCACAAATCCCCACTGCAGAGGAAATACAGCCACCATGTGGCTCTCTGACCCAGGCCCTGCCTCCGTTAGTTTTTTTCTTCCTTGAGTCTTACACGTTAGATGCATTTCTCTTCCTCTCTGCTGGGGGAAAAGCTTTCCTGTTACACTTCCCTACCTTCGAATGCACATACCTCAACGTGCTGAACGCGAGCGCTGCTGACTCTGGGCCACGAAACTCAGCAGCCGGGTGGCATGTTTGCCTTTGTGGCCACGCAAACCCAAGAGCCCCTATTTGAAAGCCCCTGCTGCTGAAGAGGACCCTGAAACAGAAAGGGTGACTGTTTTTAGGGCAGAGGTACAACAGTCCAGCAGTCTTTGACTGGCCCTTTTCGTGCTGCGTCCACAGCTTGGGGATAAATTGTTTTAGACAGAGAATAAAAGATGGCCCATATTCCTTTGTAAGTTTTTTTTTCTGTCTATAAAGGAAGGGAGGGGGGAATCTGTCAACCATGACAGAAAGTGTACACTGTTTATTCCCAGCATGCAATATGTTTGGTATCTTCACTGTGCTATGATGCATCTCTTCTGCTTCTAATACCAGGATAGATGGCGATTATTTTCCATGCTGTTATGTATTACACCTAATTGATTAATATCCAAGCTTGTTAACACCATATTTAAAATGTATAACAATTTATAACAATTATTTAATTTGATTACGAATTTAATTCGCTTATTTTACGGCAATCAATGAATTAGTCATATTATATAGGCAACTACTTATTACAAATGACTAGTTTCTGGTTTCCGAGGCATAAAAAGCAACATGATTTATGTTCGTAGCGGCAGGGAACGCTGTGTTTTGATTGGCTGATGGGTGTAACTTGTGATCTATTGATTATTGTTCAAAGAGGAATAACGGCTGGGGCTTCAGTACAGTGCAGCGGAGTGAAATGTCGTCATGCTAGTAGGTTTCCCGTCTGAAATTTCAAGAGATAATGGAGATGATTGAAGCGGGTGTGTGTGGGGAGGAGGGAGGCTGTCCGTAAATAGACCTCCTACAGAATAAGTAGCTACGGTCAGTTTCATTAATCTTAAAGAATGCTTAAATTAACTCTGAATCTATTTCACCAAAAAGTGCTGACAGCCTATTTATAACCTGAAATAACTTTGAAAAGGGTCTAATTTATCTTGGTCTCCAAGGTGTCATTTGAATGAACACAGATACTCAAGGACAAGTCACAGTGGAGAGGTTGAAGAGACAACAATAATTACGCTGGGATTAAAATTTAATTACTTCCTTGTGTTTCTTGAGGTTTTATTCATTGAAACCTCGCTCCCTTCCTCTATGTAAAACCCCCTAGCGCTGTCTTTGGAGCTTCGCAGAACAAGCCGTGATATAACGCACAGCAACCCAGCATATAATCCCCGAATTGTTTTATATTTATACCCAAATCTTCGACTTATGTCGTGAGGAAATTGTCGTTAAATTATTGAGTGGCTTTTAAAGTATGGAGAAGTGGACTGATACTATGTACAATTTCCAGTGGGAAAAATAATCACACTTTTCTAGTTAAATGGTTTTATTAGCGATTTATTATTATTTGAATAATAATGATGATGATGATCATCATAATAAGGAGGCTATGAAATGCTATATTGTGGGTGCTCTCTTCTGATGGATTTTGAGCTGGTCAGTAGATGTGCGTCTCCCCGGTGCGGGGTAGGGTGCCCCGGGGGCGCGTGTCACCAGTGAGGCGCGCGCTCCTTCCGGTCTCCCCGACTATTCTATCTGCCTGCGTATAGAGAGTGATTACTGCAACTAAACACGTATTTTGTTGATTTTCGTAATTTTGTCATTTCCGATTCATATAAAATAAAATTTTGTCACTAGCTCATATAGTTCATTACTGTATTTTTCTATGGTGTTCTGATTTTTTTTCTTTCTTTTTAAGGCCTTGTAGATGTCAGGCATTAGTTTCCTGTACTGACAAGTAAGATTTAATATACGTTTTCAATAAAGTGACAGACGATATGCGTGTTATGAGATCAGGGCTGATTTAGCATCTATGCAAAGCAAATCTTTATACGCTTGTTGTCACATGGTTTACATTCCGTCGTTGCCAGCCAGCGCCGTTTCTTTCTTTTTTTGTAAAAATGTGTCGTTTTCTGTGCACTGCGACTCTCATCCAAGCTCTGATCGCTTGGGGGGCACGGAATAGGCTCCTGTGATTTGTGAGTAAACTCTGTCGGAGCCATTAGATTTAATTTCTGTAGAGAATCCCCCTCCCTTCCCCTTGTCGCCCCCCCGATCCACCTCCACCTCCACCCACCCACCGACCGTGTAGATCCCAGTCCCCCTCCTCAGACTCGGTGTAATTGCATTAGGATGCCTTGTCCTGCGCCTTTATTACTTAAGAGAGTTGATGCTTGGCAGCCAGATGTGGCCGAAACCCTCAAGACAGCATCGCGCCCGCCGCTCCTGCGCCTCTGTCCGCGTCCAGTGAGCGGATGGATGGCAGTGTTGTAAACCGCCCTGAGAAATGCAAGCCCCTGGTGTTCCGGCCAGGGATGCCCATGAAAACATGCTCCGCCGTCTCTCTCTCTTTCTCTCTTTCGGTTATTTTTTTTCATCCGCTGTGGAGAAATTTTGCCACAGGCAGGCGAAAAAACAGCCCCTGCACCTACATTTCCTCTAAGTTGGGAGCATAATGACTGAACACGCCGCGTCCGTGTGCTGCTGCTGCTTATCAAAGCGTACTTTTGACCAGGATCGGGAGAAATATGGAACTTGATCGCCGTCTTTTTTCTCCGATGTTTCCGAGGAGGTGGGAGCGGACCGAGGACAGGTGGACGTGTCGTTTGTGAAGGAAAAAGGGGGCCGCACGGAAGAAAGGGAGAAAAGAAGGGGGGAGAAAAAGGAAAAATGCAGTTTGAGACATTGCGTCAGTTTTGTAGCTCTGTTTTATCTCATTTCAATGGGGCTTTCTCGCCGCCTCAGAATATCCTGCAGACGGAGCTGCTGGAGCAGGCGCTCGGCAACATCGGGTGAGCGATCCCTTTGAAAAGATGCTGTGATTTATGGAGGCTTTCCCAGCAGGGCTATCGGGGGTGTATGCATGCCGAGAGGAGCTGGGAGGAGGTGTGGGGGATATGGAGGAGGGGGGGGGGGGTCCTCGGCGATCGATCGCTGGCGTTTTGCGAGGACGTATCGGGAAATTGCAATTGAAAATGTCCTTCACCGAAGCTGCCCGGGGAGGATGGCGAGGTTTTTTCGCTGGAGGTGTAGAGGATGGTGGGCAGTGGGGGGAGGTAAGGGCTTGAGATCTGTATTACAGTTGAAATGAATCAACCCGTTAAACTGGCGAGGGCGAGAGCAGCGTTTGACTGCGCGAATCGCCGCCGCATGTGGAGCCGCTCGCCCCCTCCCCATCCCGGAGCGGATCCCTCCATCATTTGAGTCATTTCTGACAAACCTTTCCCCGCACCCTGTCCATTACATAAAACCCTGTCCGGCCTTTGCTGCACGCATTACCTTCTTATTAATGGTCTCTTCACTGAAGCTTTGCTGTGTGCGTGGTTTTAGCTTTCATTTAAAAATA